CGTATATAAAAATTATATCAAACTGTAGCTCTTCGAAGCACAGTTGCAACGAATCCATACTTGCGACGATCTGACATCTGGATCTTGAGCTATGGCCTCTCAAAGAATTGGATTTTCTTCTTTTTAAAAAATCCGAATTTTCATGTTTCGAGCCCATCTTTTCTCTATAAATTCTCTCATTTCTAGCTACGCCATGGCGCGTGTCATATGTTAAAATGAGCGTATCGTCGAAATCTAGGTCATGTCCAAATTTGAGCTTAATTAGACCAAAAATAAGTAAGTTGTGAGCATTTCAAAATCATCTCGAAATGAGAAAACACAGTCTCCATAAATTGAAACTGGTTCACCACAGCTGCACCACAATCGTGTAAAACACAGCCTTTACGGTAAGTTAGGCCCAGAATGGTCCCAGAGAGTTCGATTGAGCCGAAATTTGGTTCATGGGGGTATTTTGATGTTCTGGATCTAATGGACATAGTTTGATACTGTTTTGAGAACCAGAAAATAGGGTTATAGTTATAAAGTCCATTTTTCAGTATGATAAGAACTGGATTTACAAATTGAGTTTCGTCCTGATCATATCAAAACTTATCAGAACGCGACGAAACTTTACGGGTGTTGTTAGGGTATACAAAACTACCCCCTCATAAAATTTTAGGCCATTCAGACACTTCTTCATAGGTCGCCCAATTTTAGGCTTATTACTGTAATGTTTCCGTGGTCTGGCGGTGTCTTGGGCACTGGCAGGATTAGGTTACTACCAGCTCTCTCTTTATTCGCTCCGGGGATACAAGTATGTCAAAACCGACATATAACAGTCACGGTCGGCCCCAAGTCCTGGCATTTGGTCTCACAGGGACCAAATTATCATTTTTCATATATATTTTAACAGTAGGTCCGATTTGAGTGATTCTGAGACCGTTGAAAATATCTCAGGGACTACTTCAAATTGGGATAGGTTTTGGACAGTTTTAAGACAATTATATTGGGTCTAGGTTGCCGATGGTCTATTAGGATTTTTCTGGTCCTTCAAGCTTAGAATTGAGGTTTTTAGGAGTTCTCTTAGCCATAATTTTGAGGGAGGTCTCTACAAATGTCAAGGTTGCAAGATATTGTTACCTTGTCCTCAACCAAATCTAAGTATGTGGTATTGACAGAAGCAATAAAAGAAATGATTTGGTTGAGGAGGTTAGTTGACCAGTTTGGGGTGAAAGAAGATAGATATATTATGCATTGTGATAACCAAAGTTCTATTCATCTAGCTAAGAAGGTAGATTATCACTCCAAGACAAAGCATATAGAAGTCAGATACCATTTTATTTGGTTTGCCCTCAAGTGTTGAGATCTGTAGGTGGACAAGATCCATAGTGAGAAGAACCTTGCTGACATATTGATAAAGGTTGTCTCAACCAAGAAAAACAAAATGTGCAGGAGACTTTTGGGGTTGGAGGAGACATAACCTTGAGATGATAGAGAACGGTGCATTGGTGGTTGTTTTAAAGGCTTGGTAATTTGTCTTCAAGTGGGAGATTGTTATGTATATGCGAATCCAAATCACATATGTGCTTCTTTATGTTTTGACTTTTCCTCTTATTTTAGACTATTGGATTGCATTCAATTCAATGGTTGTGATGTTGTATGGACTTTACTCTTTAAAAGGATTAAAACCCTTTTATTTAGAAAGAGAAAAAGAAAGTGCAAAAGCAAGAAAAGAAGCGAACTCGCGGTGGGGTTTTCCAGCCCTATTTTTCTTGCCCTATTTTTAGTGAGAGAAAATGCTAGAAGAGGGAGCTTTGTTGGGTTCTTGAAGCTTGGTTGTTGGCCCAGTTCCAGAGAGAGAAAGTCCACATTCGTTTAGTTTGGACCTTGTTTTCGGCCTTGTTTTGATAAAGTTAAAGCTATTGTAAATTAAAGCTTTGGAACTCAATCTCTCATATGATCTCCATCAAATTAGTAAGTAAAGCCTCGCATTATTCTCTCATGGATATAGTTCATGTTTTGTGGCTGAACCACATTAAATCTTTGTGCTCTGTGAGTTGCATGTTGTTGTATCTCCATTCTATGACATTGCTTTGATGTTTTATTAGTTTGATAAACCCATGTTGTACGTTCACCACCATCGATCACAACAACATCCACGGATAAGAAGGCAACGGTGCATTTACTATCAAAAGAAGAAGTTTACAAGGTTGGGGTTTTGTAGATATCACCTCATGCATAGCAAAAAAAGCTCAAATAGGAATTTTCTACCACAATCCCACCATCAATCGACACCCATCTTTATCACTATCGACTAAGACCGTCGCCGCGAAGAAATGCCGATAAAAAAACCGGCCCATTACGAGACCACAATGGGGTTAGAATTTGTACAAGAAACCCCCAATCTCTACCTTCCAAAACTTCTTTATAATTTTATTTTCCTTTACTTGTATTCTCTCCAAAAATGTCTTTTATGAGCCTCCATAAAGGCCTACTTTCTATGATGAAAATACCCTTCAACAAAAGATAAAATACAAAATGGGGGTGATTTGCATTACCATCCACAAACTCTTCCTTGATGCAAAGTCATATCCTTGCCTTGTCGAACATATTTGGCTATTCCCCTTTGAAACACCTAGAGAACTTAGCTAATTTCACTAGCTCTCTTGCCCAATAACCGATATGAGCATGCCTTGTTCATTTTCTTTCATTCTTATGCTTCTCATACAAACTCACCTTCATCAACACTCTCATTCTTGAGTTCTTGTAGCCATCTTGCTTTCACAGATGCTCTATGTGAATATTCTACATACCTACGCACAATTCTCTAAATGAGAGTGTTGCATAATTCTCTAAATATCGCCATGAGCTCATGACCCTTGATGAATTTGGCAAATCCATCCATGCTACCCGTTCTATTACCCCGAATTTTCTCTCGTAAATGCATGTAGTGACATTGAAGCTCCTAAACACCAAAGTAAGCCAAAGCTTGTTAACGCCCTGTGTAGTTTCCCCCTAACCAAAATAGTTCCCTCTCTCTGTACTTACCAAGGCCTGCAAACCCCTAGTGTGTACCCAACTTGGATGTTGAAGCCATCCCTAAAGCCAACTGACACCAAATATGGGGTGGCCAAGGTTTGAAAACAGCACAACTCAAGGGGCCCCGGACAAACCAAATTCAGATGGATGCTCCAACTGTAGGGTGCAAACGCCCATTTCGCTTGTGTCCTACCCAAAGTTGACTAGATATATTTCAAAACCGGTTCTAGCAACTTCGGCTATAGGAAAATCATAGCCTTTGACCTACATTGCAGAACGATCAAATTGCCCTCCTCTTTTCGGGATCATTAAACCCTTAATGTTCCAAGACAAAGAGCATCATCTTAAATGGAAGCATGTCATTGTCTTGGTGGGGTGGAAGGGATGAATGATTTCCTTTCCTTTTACATCCCTTTAGACCCTCCCAGAGTTGTGCCCTCCCAAACCCCCACCCCCCCCCCGCCCTTTCTCTCCGCTCATCATATGACGTGAACACCTCCATAATCTGGTACTTGGGACCATCATGGACTTTGTTCACGGCATTGATCATATCCCTAACTTTTCCATAAGCCTGATATCTCAATAGTTCTTCAAAATCGACAGAGCAAGAATTATCATGCATTTCTTCAAACTTACGGAAAGTTTCATCTTTATCTATCTCTTAACAAAGTCCATCCATTGGGGCATGAGATGGTTATTGGATAGCAGGAGCTCCAATCGTGAGCAGGTGGCCAGCAGATGGCGTGTGTGGTGTAACCTCCATGTGACCAACAAGACCAAGCTGGAGATATAGATGGGAGTTTTTAGCTTTGAGGCCGCTCATCTATGTGTGAAGCATGGAGCAATCCTCGGACTCCCGGATAGATTCCTCCATGTCTGAGGCCTGAGTAGAGTAGCTTGGTAGAAATACAATATATCCATTTGTTCATTCTTACATTGGTAGTCTGAGTGATTTGTCCATTGTTACCTTGGTAGTCTGAGGGATGCGTGCAAGATGTTAAAAACTCCAATCACGAGCATTTTTTAGTAGACCAAGTCCAAGAAACTCAAATCGTTCAAGAATGTGGAGACTAGACCAGATCAAAGAAACTTTAATAGGCTCGCCTGTAGTTCACCAAGCCATTGACATAAGGGGTTCTCACCATAGTTAACAACCACCTAGTTTACCGTTCTTAACAATCATCCTTAAGAGGGTCCAATGCCATCTTTTGATACTTCCCAGGAATGTGGAAAAACTTTGACTCGGATACTTGAGATCCAAGAAACCCAAAATCCTCCAGGTTGTCTTCTTCAAATGATACAAGCTCCATGAAAACTCCCAATTCTCGATTTGCAATCTCCATATCAAAAATCAAAATCTCCAAAAAAAAAACCTGGCCTTCACATCAGATGCCACTATGCAATTTGCGACTCTGCATCTGAAACCTGTGTGTGTGTGTGTGTGTGTGAGAGAGAGAGAGAGAGAGAGAGAGAGAGAGAGAGAAGAGTGCCTCTTGAAAATTGCACTCGCAATCATCAAATCTGAAATACAATCTCCATAGAACCCATCATTCAAACCTGATGCGACAAACTCCAAAAAGAGACTATCATTCAAAACTGATGCCACAAACTCCAAAAAGAGACTTTCATTCAAACCTGATATCACAAACTCCAAAAAGAGACTATCATTCAAACCTGATGCCACCTTCCAATTTGTGGTGTTCAAAATCTCCAAAAAACGACCAACCTTCAAATCTGATGCCACCTTCCAATTTGTAGTCTTCAAATTTGTAATCTTAGCATCTCAACCTTGCCTGAGTGTGTGTGTAAGAGAGAGTGAGAGAGAGAGAGAGAGCGCTCCAAGGTGCTACAGCCACACCTCAAATTCAATTTCATTACTTCCTCCCATTGAGTGAACCATTGTATACAGTTGTACATTCCTATTGCCATTAGTGCTTCATATTGGTTAAGAACTTTGTATGATAGCCGTAGCACACGTACTGCCAGGTGGAATCTTTTTCGATTCAATGATTTATTCAAACGAGATGAACCATGAACTGGCTTAGTTCTGTTGGATACAGAAACTTTTAAAACAGATTTGCTCTGATAAATATATGGAAATAATATTTCTTTCATAGATTTACATGTAAATGATGCAGAAACAAGTAAAACCAACCACCTAATTAAAACACATCAGGATGGAAGTGGCCCGGAATGGAGCTATTCTGCTGAGCTTGCTGAAGATGGATTTTTAGCGCATAGTTATTCACCTGCAAATCAATGAATAATAAATACTCAACACACACACACACACACAAAGGGGAAGGATCAATAGGGTACTCACCTCAAGATTTCGGACCTGCTTATCATACTGTGACATGAGCTGTTTGAGGTGTTGAAGTTCCCTACATCTCTCACCATATTCCTTTATTCGTTCATGTTGGATGGTTACCGCTCGCTTGAGAATGTTGTTCTCTCGAAGAAGCACTTCTGCTTGTTCCTTAAGAATCACATTCTCCTGTTCAAAAACACTACGTTAAGGACAATATAACTCAAAATCATCACATTAAGAGGAAAAACAAAATAGTAGGTATAGTTACCATCATAGCATTGTGTTGTATGTATGTACCTTGTGAATGCTGTCTGCTACCATAGCACCAGCACGTGACCCAATACATTTTTCTAATCCCTTCAAGATCCTTGAAGCACGAACTCTTGCATCCTCCACATTAGAAGCATTCGTCATCTCCCACACAAACAGCTCCACCCATTCTGCACCATCTTTTGGGATGTCACTTGGGATATCTTCATTGGTTGATGAAGCATTGTCTCCATTCACTAGACCTGTGAATTGCACATTACTTCATTCTAAATTTCTAATCCAAACAATGCACATGCTACATGATAAAAGTGTGTAATTTTGTTTTCTTATTTAAAAATCCAATCAATTATAAACCACATTATTTGCGAAAAGATATTTAACAAAGCAGGTATAGTCAGAGAAAGAATTTTTCAATTAGGGTAGTACACTTCTAATTGATGTTGAACTGAACCATTCTACCAAACAAGACATCCTAACTTCCTCAGATCCAAGCAAATTTTCGATTGGAAAGCTGAGACATTTGACAGAGGATAAGCATCTTGCTAACTTCTATATTCATATAAAAAAGGAAACAAGTTGCTAGCAGCTTCTAGGTTAGCACAAAAGTGCTCCGAACTTTTCTAGAAAGAAGTATAGATCCATTCAACAACCAAACATCTGGGGATTAAGTCATGATTTCAGAAAGAACAATTGCACATGAACTCAGGCAGAGTCATATTGACAGAGATCAATTTGAAATCTTAATCTAAAAGAGCAGTCCTGAACAAATTTCTCAGGAATGAACAGAAACCTGAAAAAGATGAATACTTATGGACTTCCAAACCTTGAAAATTTCACAAGTGATTAAAATTTACTCAGCAGTAAGCAAGGCACACCACATTAAAGCATTCTCAGTAAAAAGCCATACTCCTTAATGATATATCCATTATGTGAGGCCCTTACTTGCGCCATCATAAGCACTTCAAGTAGTAACTATATCCTCCGGAAAAAAACCAACTGGCTCTTTTATTTCATTATGACGAAACCAAAATTTTGCAGTTAGGTTTCCCACGAATATTGAAGTGACCAAAGTTGCTATTCATCCAAAAAAAACAAGTTATCTACTGGCCAGCATTTCAATTGTCAAAGAAGAATGGTGAAGCCTTTATATATGACATCTGGTAGACCATATGAAAGCCTACTTCCACAATTCATTAACCCTAATTCAAGATTAAAAACATTTGGGGCAACCTTGGTAACAGATTATAGAGATTTTTAAAACGGTCGAAGCACAATTCATTAACCTTAATTCAAGATTAAAAATGTTTGCGCATGCAGATTGTGAATGTTATTGGAAGGCACACAAGATGTTTAAGAGACCCATTCAATAATTCAGGAGTTATACATTTGGCAAAGGAATGATCTTGGAAGAAGCAACAAATGGTGCATTTTACAACTGACGCCGAAGAAGTATTGTGATTATCCCTAAAAAAGTTCATCTTGCACATGAAGACCATAGGACACGCCATGTTGAATTGATCTACTGCTATGATCTTGATAACAGCCGAAACTTTTATCAAGTTTAGAGTACTTATCATAAACTCCAACTGCCAGCCGTGGTATTTTTCTCATACAGATGAAACCACTAATTTTGGCCTTCAAAAGTGGTCTGGAATCAATATCTTAAAATTTATTATGTATTGCTAATCAGATTCTTGCAGAACTTTCCATTACTGGGGACTTTCTTATGACATCAGATTAGTCCTCCAATAGTGGTACTCATCAATTCCTTGCTCTTGTGGACGAAAAATATTTTACTCACAGCCAATACCTGATATTTTCTCATCAAATTAGATGTAGCTCAAGAAGTAAGAGTGTAAGACTACATGGAGGGCTCCATTTCACCTCTCCTCTTCTGTAAGTCAAGATTACCCAGTTGAATTTGCAACTAGGAAAACTGTGAATGGTAATACAGTTACTTGGAATTTGATTTTCTCTATGAAAGTATTACAGAATCAGACTCACAAGGAACCTATCCACTTTACCACAAGACGAGAGATATAAAATTAGCACAAGCCAATCTATTATCTATCAAATGTCAGTCATTTCATAAGTTGGAGAAGATACACATCAACTAAAGCAAGGAGCACTGCTGTCTCCAGAAAAATATTTCAAACCTTCTGCGAAGTTACCAAATATCTTAGATTCCCATATACGATACAGTAACCCCATGTTTATTATTCCACAAGTCTGAGAGTACACAGCCAAATGTAAAAGTAAAGTTATGGGAAAACCACAGTCCATGGCGTCATTACTCATTACTGCCCTTTGAAATGATACTGATAGGTTATGTCTTCTTCTGCCAGGTCCCTCCACACCCCCGTGCCCCCCTTCCCCCCCCACCCACCAACAACGAAAATAAAAAAGAAAAAAAAAACAGAACACAAAACAAAACAAAAAAACTCAAATTACCATTCATAATTTTGATCGACAATAGGGCACCAAGAACAGTGTCCTACAAAATCCTCCTTTTTTTTTAATAAGCTGACTATTGTATTAATATCGTAAATGAGTAACTCTAAGAACATATACTAAAAATAGGCAACCCAGTATTTGGGTGCCCTATCCAAAAACCCCAATGGGCCCAAAAATGGTTCCACAAGAGATACACAAGAGAAGAAAAAAATAGAAGGGGATGCAAGCTTAAAAAATGCCTGCAATTCCCGTGGTAGAGTTGAGACACCCCCCTTCCCTTGCTAGAGCGTCAGCAGCCTCATTGGCTTCTCTAAACACATGGCTCCAGGTAACCCTTAAAGTGCTAGAAATATGAGAGATTTCTTCAAAGATGTGGTCAGGTCTCCAGGGCCATGGGGCTGCCCCAAAGGCCCAAGTAATGATGTTAGAAGAGTCACCTTGTGCTACCAGTTCAGTAATCCGGCTAGGGTCGAGTCTTCGGAGCCCTTCAAGCAAAGCCCTGGCCTTCACGGTCGTTGAGTCCGTAACTCCAGTAGGTAGGGAGAATGAAAGGTGGGTAGAGCCCTCAGAATTTCCAAAAATGCCCCCAATCCGAGTTCTGGCTGTCTTCAGAGTTCTGGCAGTCTCCACAAAGAGGAGCGAGATATTCTCAGAGCTCTCAGGTATAGGAGTTCTTGCCAAATGTGGTGTAGAACAGCAAATGAGAAATTTTTGATGAGTTCGTGGTTTCTGGCCCACAAAGAGACTTAAGGAACGACATTTGTCCACACCAAAGCGGTGGACAAATGACTGATGACACACCAAAGCGATGTGTTGGAGTAAACAAGCATGCTTGATAGATGAAACTGGCAATTCCATCATGACCAACACCCTAATCTTGCCTGCACACATTCTGCTGGCGTTATACCATGTGGACACCGATACTGATAGTGCATAAA